CTGGAAATAATCTAAATATCCAAAATAGGGTCATGGTTATTAAATAATCAAATATATAAATAATGGAAAATTATTCTGTCTTTGGAGTCCCTGGGTCATGCAAATGGTTAATGTACTTGGTTGCTTACCAAGAGGTTGGAGGTTTGAGTTGCCTCAAAGAAGTACTTCCTGGTGAGCTGCTTCCGAAAAATTAGCCATTGAAAACCCTATGGAGCACAATTCTACTCTGACACACATGGGTCGCCATGAGTCAGAATTAACTGGTACTACTACACTGTCTTTAAAAAATATTTATGCAGAATACATAATAGCCTGGGAAAATGCTCATGAAATAATGTCCAAAAAAAAGTTATAAAATTACTACTACAATTTCTTTTTAAAAATTATAATAAAAAATTACCATATTATCTCTGAAAAATGAAAATTTGGAAGATTACAATTTTCATTTTATACTTTTCTATATTTTTTTACCCACTACCCTTTGTCAGTTTCTTGTACTGTGGCGGCTTGCATGTTGCTGTGATGCCAGAAACTACACCACAGTATTTCAACGACCAGCAGGGTCACCATTGGTGGACAGGTTTCAGTGGAGCTTCCAGAATAAGACAGACTAGGAAGAAAGGCCTGGTGATCTACTTTCAAAACTTAACCTGTAAAAACCTTATGGATTACAACAGAACACTGTCCAACTCTCTTGCTTTGGACACATCATCTGGAGGGATCAATCACTAAAGTAGGACGTGATGTTTGGTTAAGCAGAGGGCAGTGGCATCACTAGGGGAGTGCAAGGGTGTGGACCACACTGAGTCACACTGCCAGAAGGGGTAACACCAAAATAACTGTCTATAAAATTTTTGTGCAGTGTTTCAGCTGAAATTTATTGTTTTTTATAAAAATACCCCCATAGTTAGTTACAACAACAAAAACATTTTTCGTAAGCCCAGCTTACATGCATCAATATACCTACAAGGCTAAAATTCTCTGCTAATTTACTTTTTCAACCTTCTCATGAGCCCCAGTCAGAGCTGTCAGTATTACCCAATTACAACGATGCTTTGAATCACATGGTTTCATCTGCAGGCACAATAAGCATGCACTGTTGTTTTCATTGCTGCCGCTGTTTTTATAGTTGCTGATTTTGTCAAATTTTCTGGTGTTTTAGCTAAATATTGTGGTAATTCGTATTTGTGAACCTGTATCAATAACCCACCACGAGTCTGTCAGTTTGTTGTACTGTGGTGGCTTGAGTGTTGCTGTGATACTGGAAGCTGTCACTGGTATTTCAAATAAAACCAGGGTCACCCATTGTGAATATGTTTCAGTGGAGCTTCCAGACCAAGACAAACTAGGAAGAAGGACCTGGTAGTCTACTTTGGAAGGCTAGTGAAAACCTCATGAATAACAGCAGAACACTGTCTGATATAGTGCTGGAAGATGAGCCCCTCAGGTTGGAAGGCACTCAAAACATGACCGGGAAAGAGCTGCCTCCTTAGAGTCAGTCAACCCTAATGATATGGATGGAGTCAAGCTTTCAGGACCTTCATTTGCTGATGTGGCACAGCTCAAAATGAGAAGAAACAGCTGCAAACAGTATTAATAATTAGAATGTGGAATGTATGAAGGAAATGTATCTGGGAAAATTGGAAGTCTTCAAAAATGAAATGCAATGCATAAAGATAGATATGCTAGGTGTTAGTGAGCAGAAATGGACTGGTATTGGCCATTTTGAATCAGACAATCATATGGGCTACTATGCCGGGAATGACAAATTGAAGAGGAATGGCATTGTACTCGTCATCATCAAAAAGAACATTTCAAGGTCTAGCCTGAAGTACAAGGCTGTCAGTGATAGGATAATATCCATACGCCTACATGGAAAATCAGTTAATATGACTATTATTCAAATTTACACACCAACCACTGAAGCCAAAGATGAGGAAATTGAAAATTTTTACTAACTTTTGCATCTGAAATTGATCAAACATGCAATCAAGATGCATTGATAATTAATGGTGACTGTAATGTAAAAACTGGAAACAAAGAAGGATCTGCAGTTTGAAAATATGGCCTTGGTGATAGAAACAACCCCAGAGATTGTATGATAGAATTTTGCAAAAACCAATAACATTCACTGCAAATATCTTTTTTCAACAACACAGGTGGCTATTATACACCTGTATTTCACTGGATCGAAAACACAGGAATCAAACTGACTACATCTGTGGAAAGAGGCCATGGAAAAGTTCAATAACATCAGCCAGAACTAAGGCCAGGGGCCGACTGCAGAACAGACCATCAATCGCTCATATGCAAGTTCAAGTTGAAGCTGTAGAAAATTAGAACAAGTCCACAAGAACCAAAATACGACCTTGAGGATATCCCACCTGAATCTTCAGATCATCTCAAGAATAGATTTGATGCACTAAACACTAATGAGTGAAGACCAGACAAGTTGTGAGATGACATCAAGGACATCATACATTAAAAAAGCAAGAGGTCACTGAAAAGATAGGAAAGAAAAGACCAAATTCGATGTCAGAAGAGACTCTGAAACTTGCTCTTGAATGTCAAGAAGCTAAAGCAAATGGAAGAAATGATGAAGTAAAAGAGCTGAACAGAAAATTTCAAAGGGCAGCTTGAGAAGAGAAAGTAAAGTATTATAATGAAACGTGCAAAGACCTGGAGTTAAAAAAACCAAACGGAAGAACACACACAAGATTTCTTATGCTGAAAGAACTGAAGAAAAAATTCAAGCCTTGAGTTGCAATTTTGAAGGATTCTACGGGTAAAATATTAATGACGCAGGAAGCATCAAAAGAAGACAGAAGGAATACAGAGTCACTGTACCAAAAAGAACTGGTTGATGTTCAACCATTTCAGGGGTAGCATATGATCAAGAACTGATGGTATTGAAAGAAGATGCTCAAGCTGCACTGAAGGTATTGGGGAAAAACAAGCCTCCAGGAATTGACAGAATACCATTTGAGATGTTTCAACAAATGGATGCAGCGATGGAGGTACTCACTCATGCATGCCAAGCAATTTGGAAGAGATACCTGGCCAACTCACTGGGAGAGATCCATATTTGTGTCCATTCCTAAGAAAGGTGATTCAACAAAATGTGGAAATTATCAAACGATATCATTAATATCACACAGAAGTAAAATTTTGCTGAAAATCATTCAAAAAATGGTTGCAGCAGTACATCGACAGGGAACTGCCAGAAATTCAAGCTGGATTCAGAAGAAGTCATGGAATGAGGACTATCTTTGCTGATATCAGATGGATCTTGGAGGGAAACAGAGAATACCAGAAAGCTGTTTAGCTGTGCTTTATTAACTATGCAAAGGCATTCGACTGTAGATCACAACGAATTATAGATAAGTGTGAAGAATGGGAATTCCAGAACATTTCATTGTGCTCATGCGGAGTCTGTACATAGACCAAGAAAGAGTCATTCAAATAGAACAAGGGGATATTGTGTGGTTTAAAATCAGGAAAGGTATGCGTCAAGGTTGTGTCCTTTCACTAAATTTATTCGATCCATATGCTGAGCAAATAATCCGAGCAGCTGGACTATATATGAAGAAGAACATGGCATCAGGATTGGAGGAAGACTCATTAATAACCTGTGACATGCAGATGACACCTTTCTTGCTGTGAAGAGGACTTGAAGCACTTACTGATGAAGATTACACCTCAACGTAAAGAAAACAAACATAAAGAAAACAAAAATCCTCACAACTGGACCAATAAGCAACATCATGATAAATGGAGGGAATATAGAATTTGTCAAGAATTTCATTTTACTTGAATCCACAATCAATACCCATGGAAACAGCACTCAAGAAATCAAATGACGTATTGCATTGGGCAAATCTGCTGTAAAAGACCTCTTTAAAGTGTTGAAAAGCAAAGATGTTACTTTGACGACTAAGGTGCACCTGACCCAAGCCATGATATTTTCAGTCATCTCATATGCATGTGAAAGCTGGATAATGAATAAGGAAGACCAAAGAAGAATTGATACCTTTGAACTACCGTGTTGGTGAAGAATATTGAACACACCATGGACTGTCAGAAAAAATGAACAAGTCTGTCTTGGAAGAAGTACAGCCAGAATGCTCTTTAGAAGCCAAGATGGCAAGACTTCGTGTCACATACTTTGGACATGTTATCAGGATGGACCAGTCTCTGGAGAATGACATTATGCTTGACAGAGGGTCAGTGAAAAAGAGGAAGATCCTCAATGAGATGGACTGACACAGTGGCTGTGACAATGGGCTCAAACATAGCAACAACTGTGAGGATGGTACAGGAATAGGCAGTGTTTCATTCTGTTGTACACAGGGTTGCTATGAGTCGGAACCGACTCAATGGCAACCGACAACAACATATCAATAACTTCTTGTAGAATGAAGTAGTAATTAAAGGAAAAGAAGGAGTGATATACAGGAATTACAAAAAAAACTACTAAGGTTTCTTTATGTTCTGGTATGGGAGGAGGTCCATGGTGGGGGTGACACCATAAGTAACCTTACGGGGTGATATCAACCCAATGATGCCACTGGTAGAGGGCCAGTGAGGGCAAAGGAGACCCTCGGTGAGATGAATTTGCACAATAGGCAGAATGATGGACTAGAACATGCTGGAAATTGTGAGGATGATGCAAGACCAGGAAATACTCCATTCTGTTTTATATAAGGTCGTCACAAGTGTTGGAATCAACTTGATTACAGTGATCTATCTATCTGTCTATTTATCTTACGTACCTACCTACCTACCTAGCTATCTATCATCTATGTATGTTTTCTACAATGAACATATATATTCATAAAAACTGAAAAATACCATTAAAGATTTACTAAAAACTAAAGCCTTTTGAAAGGTAGTAGTTTACCTGATAGCTTTGCTATATCATTTCTCTCAGTATACTGAAAACAGTATTGCTATAGCTATTGTGTGGCAAAGGTGTATGAAATAATAGGCACACACACAAATACCATCACATGTCATTTTATTGAGGGAATTATGCTACTACATGTTAATTCTATTTACCTGATTACTTTTCATTATGTCAAACAAGACTCCAAAGGCCACAAGCCACGAAGTTACACAATTACTTTCCCATATTTTGTTCAGGAACACAAAAATCAAATACAAAGAATGTTCAAGTCAATATGAAAACTGTCCTTCAGCTTCTTTGGTTGACATTTTTTTGTTTTGTTTTGTTTTTTTTGGTTTCTCCCCAAAAGGCAACCATTAAAGATCAGGAAGTATAGTGGCATGGAAGAAGGACGAAAATGGAACATGTAAAAAGCAAAAACAAAGTTTTGCTACATTTTATCTTCAAAGTTTCAAATCTTTTTTTTTGTTTTTTGCACCAAAAAAGCTATCAATACTTTTCATTCCACTCTTGTCAACTTTAGCCAAAGCCTTCTGAGCTGCAGTCATTTTGCTATTTTTCTGTTAATGGAAATAAGAGAGAAAAATTGTCATGAATCATAACATTCACAAACCATTCGTGTAAATCAAACAAGACTGTGTATGTCTCGAAGTTTAGTAAGGGGAGGTAAACCTTCACTACTAACATGCTTCCTAAGAGAGTGATTATGAAAAAGAAGTTCTGAATTAATTCAGACCTAAGAGACAGAATATGTTAAAAGAGTCAGAAGACCAAACTGCCGCCTCCCAAGGAGTGGGATGTTACAATAGTTTACTTGAGGGGATAGTTCTGGAGGGCACATTAGTGCAATGACACCAACAATGGGACTGACAGACTGCAATTCAATCTGCGTCATCAGAGAGAGGAACTGCACTCTGTGGAAACCAAGGACAACACTATAATGTCCCAAAGATCACCTGTATTACAAGGCATATCGGGAGCAGCAGAAGAGCTGTCCCATCCTTCCAACAAAGAAATACTGTCCAAAAAGCTGACTCCAAATGATCCTGCCTTGTAAATTGCTATCTCTTCCACAACTCGCTCATAATACTGGATGGGAATCAGCAAAGAAAAAAAATCATCTGTCTCCCTGGGGACTGTGGAACAAAATCATTGCCAAAGTATCTTTTAAGTCTATAGTATGTGATCCCCACACTCTTCCTTCTCACATTATATCACTTATAACTTAGTGGGCTCATTTTTTGACTGGATGGTGAACAATGACAGTCCCTTTCAGACAAGCTATCCCATGGTCCAACCTCCTGCCTCACCAGTGCCATTCCCAGTGGATACAAGGGAAGTGGCGCTTAGAAGGGCGGGACAGAAATATCACCCTTAGACAAACACAAGATGCCCCTGCTAACAAAGAGCACTGAGAAAACTAGCTAGTTAGCCAGCTCTCTAGTTGGATTATCACCTGACACCACAGGCCAAAATAAATTACATATAGATTAAAGAATAAAATTAAAACAAACAAACTTTAATGGTGGTTGTTAAATGTTAAAATCTAAGTGGAAGTTACTTCATCTTGGGATGGACAAGACCTTTCTAAGCATAATTTAAAAACAATGGTAAAATCATAAAGAAAAGTGATTTTTATACTTAATTTCAGGAAAGATAAAACTGTTAAAAAGTCAAAAAGGCTAAAAAATATTGGACAATTATTTGTACCTATACGTCATGAAAAGTGTTAATAGCCATAATTTAGAATGAACTCTTACAAATCAACAAGAAAAACATTACCATTCCAATACAAAAACAGGCAAGGGACATGAATCAACAATTTTCAAAAATGCAAATGGGCAACAAACATTTGGAAAAAACTGTTTGGTTGTAAACTAATTAGTAAACTAATTTGACAGGCAAAAATTTTCAAGAATAAAAATCACACTCCATGTTGTCCAGCATGCAAGATGAATACTCACCAGCAATAATTGTTGCGAGTACAAATTTTACTATATTTCTGGAAAGCATTTTGGTTGTATATAGTTCAGTAATTACAAAAGGGCTCAGGTTTTTTGAGCTCTTACTCTTACTTCTAAATTCTGTCTAAAGAGTATAATCAGAGGTGCAGACAGACTAGAAACAAGAAATGTTGATCACTTCCTTACAACAAAAATTAAAAAAATATGAAGTAACCTATGTGGCAAAAAATAGGGGAATGACTAAATAAATTATATTCCATATGATGAAATAAAATAACACACATACTTGAATGCTGTGAAGCAATTAAAATGTTTTCAAACGAAATTTAATGACGTGAATATTTTTATTATACAATGGTAAACGAAAAAGAAAAGAGCTAAAAACCATGTAAATTTTATAATGCCAGTTTTAAAATCCATGTATATGCATATGTATATATGTATGTGTGCATATATACTGTATGTATATTGCATGCATAAAACTCAAGAAGAAATATCATCAGAACATTTGCTGAGGTTATTGCTGAATGGTGGATTAATAATTTTGTCAGCATCATGATTTCTGGGAAGCTTCTGGGCAGTAGGGTTGGCAAACAATTACCTTGTGGCTGCTCCCTCTCTCGCCCCACCCTACCACTCTAAGAATACATAGCAAAGCTCAGGCACACTCATGCTAAGTACATCGCATTTCTTTGATTTGTAAAAAGTCTTACTTGCCTAATATTTTCACTGCTGTGCACAACTCTGAATTAATTATTAAGTCAGGGAAATGCAAGTCGCTCATTCTGCATGGTCAGGATTGCAAGAGCGCCATACAGCGCACCACCGTCCCTTGATGTGCTCAGACAGTGGTACCCAGGTGTACAGAGAGCATGCCATTGCCCTGGACACACGTACCTTTTCAGTCTTCAAATCTTTAGTGTTAAACTTAGTATAATCTTCTTTTGCTTCTACAGGCTCATCAGACAACTTTATTTTCTGCAACGTTAGAGCAGTGAAGTGGTGTCAAACATCACCTTGACACTTACATCAAACCATTTAAAACAAAGAGCAATCATGCGCAATTTGGACCCAGCAGTCACCTCACACAGAGGCCAAATGGAGCAGCAGATGCTTGCAAAGGGCTTGACATTTTATGAGCTCCTTCACATTTTGCCAGATATCTAGGGAGCTAAGGTATACACCACTTCCCAAAAGGAGCCTTGGTGATGTGGGCTATAACTGGGCAGCTACATGACCCAGCCCCTTAGGCCGTCTCTCAACACTAAATGCAGACTGTGTATGCACCAGGTACGGCGGGCATCCAGTGACTGCTGGCTGCCTGGACAGTCTGAATGGTGAAAGCAAGGCGAGGTGGTCACAGGTGAGAGTCCCCTCTAGGAGGCCAACTGCAGCCAGAACCCTGCTCCATTCCCCTCCTGGGCTGCTTTAAAGCCCACGTATGAATACAGAGATGATGTCATTCTATTATTGCCATCTTTGCACAGCTGCGTGTTCTTCCCTGCTTTGCACTCAACTATCTCATTCTATGCACACAAGAGCAGCTCTACAAAGCAAGCAGCCGGCAGGAGACGGAAGGACAGAGAGGTAAATGATTAGCTTAAGGTCACCTTGGAGAAGACTTAGGACAAGATCTTCATTTTCGACAATCGTTCTTTCCAGTAGACCCAATGACAACTAAGTTAAACCTTTACTTAATATTCTCACCTCTCCCGTGAGTGTTTTGTACCAAAGAATGTGAGAATCTTGTCAAGAGCTAGAGAGGCCTTAACGTTCATAATGTGTCAAATTGTGACACACTGATGAAAAGGTACCATAGCTGGGCAGATAAGTCTGGATGTTTAAGATGGAGAACTGAATGCCTGGTGCTCACAACTTGGATTTTGACAAATCTTCAAATTCTTTGCGGAAAAACCAGGCTGACAAGACCCAACAGAGATCTACCCTAGGAAATGCAGCTTTGCTCCTAGCCTCATGCTTCATTCCCAAGCTCTTGATGAACAAAGAACTGGTAGGGCTAACGATAAAAGATGCACAACAGGCATTAGCACAGGGGGAAAACATGTCTTAAGATTCTTCACTGCAGAGGTGGGGCCAAGATGGCAGAGTAGTCAGACACTTCCTGTGGTCCCTCTTACAACAAAACCCAAAACAACAAGTGAATAAATTATATATGACAATCTAGGATTCCTGAATATCAAAAGCAAAGATGAGGAATTGGATTGAGTGGCAGGGGGAGGGAGAGATGGTTCGGAAGCAGTGAGGAGTTGCCAGACCTGATCTGGTGGAAGCCTGGAAACTTTAGGCCAGACAGGCTGGCTTGTGTGGAGAGGCAAGCAGTGGGGCTTGGGAGGCATTTTCCACACTGGGAGAGATCAAACTGCAGACAGTCTACCTGAGCCTCCAGAACCAGTGAAAAGCGGCACTCAATAGGCAAAAGATAAGTACATGAGTCTGACCTACCGCGTAGATCAAAAAACACCCACTTTGGGAAAAACCTCTCTGCTGTTTACCTGCCTCCTCCCTGCCCTGCACGGGGTCCCCAGCCAGCTTCAGTGATTGCCGAGTCCCCAGGGCTGGATGTAGGACCCGTCACACGTCCTGAGCCATTCTCTTGGCCTTGGAAAGGGAACAAATTAACAAACAGGAAAAAATAATCTGCCAGCTACCCTAAGCCGGGAACTCAGGGTAGGCACAGCTCCTTTGCCTAGGCACAGGCATAAGGGGTCCATGGACTTTGAATGCCTTTCACCTCTGCATAGACCTCTGTGGGCCCACTGCAACAGCGAAGGTCCTCATTACCACAGTACAACAGGGTATATAACTAAAGCCTAACTTCAACTGTATCAGCTGTATGGTGAAGTGGCAGGTTCATGACATTTGACACTGCTCTGACCATTAAGCAGGGTCCTCGCCTACCCAAATCAGGGGCCTGAGGACTGGTGGCTCCACCCACACCACCTAGCCAGATGTGACAGTGGTCCAAAAATAAGCAGTGCCTCTCAGTCCTTACAGCCAATAGCACTGGGTGCTCATAGTCCAGATGCAAAACCAACCCAACTATGCACTCCAGGGGACAGGGACACATTTTCCTCCCAGACACTCAGGGACAGCCCTCAGCCCCCTGCCTTGCTCAGAGCGTGACCACCTACTACAGCCAGATACCTGTGCCTACACCAATCATGTAGGTGATACCCTGCACCAACACTTGGTGACTGACTAGCTGGACATCTAAGCTGAATCCATACAAGAAAAGTAAACAGAATCCTGAGCTCACATACTTAGTAACAGATCTAACCACCTGGTGACAGGACGTTAGAGCTTCAAAGGTGCCAATAATCAAACTAGTTCACAGGAGTAGCCTATTTGGGCATATCAAAACAAAACAAAACAAGAAGCTAGGACACAGTAAGCAAATATAAAATAAATAAATATAATAACTTATTGATGGCTTGGAGACAACAGTCAATATCAAATCACATAAAGAAGCATACCATGATGGTGCCAGCAAGCTCCCCAAAGGAATCAAGAAATTTTCCAGAGGAAGAGAACATCTTGGAATTACCAGAGGTAGAATACAAAAGATTAATATACAGATCTCTTCAAGAGATCAGGAAGGAGATCAGTCAAAATCCAGAACAAGTGGAGGAACACACAGACAAAGCAACAGAGGCACTTAAGAAGATTAGAGAAGAGCATAATGACAAATTTAACAGGCTGCAAGAATCCACAGAGAGACATCAAACAGAAATCCAGAGGATTAACAATAAAATTTCAGAATTAGACAACTCAATAGACACTCATAGGAGCAGAATTGAGGGAACAGAAGTTAGAATTAGTGAGACTGAAGATAAAGCACTTGACACCAACTTATTTGAGGAAAAATCAGATAAAAGAATTAAAAAAAATGAACAAACTCTAAGAATTATGGGGGACTCTATCAAGAGGAATAACCTACAAGTGATTGGAGTACGAGAACAGAGGGTGGATAACAGAAAACACAGGGAGAATTGTTGTAGATTTGTTAGCAGAAAACTTCCCTGATATCGCAAAAAATCAGAAGATATCCATCCAAGATGTTCATCGAACCCCTCATAAGGTAGATACCCAAAAGAAAGTCACCAAGACATACTATAATCAAACTTGCCAAAACCAAAGATGAAGAGAGAATTTTAAGAGCAGCTAGGCATAAAAAAAAGCCATCTACAAAGGACAGTCAGTAAGACTAAGCTTGACTACTCAGCAGAAACCATGCAGGCAAGACGGTAGTGGAATGATATATATAAAGACTTGAAGGAAAAAAATTGCCGGCCAAGAATTATATATCCAGCAAAACTGTCTCTCAAGACTTCTGGCAATATGGTGCTCTAGGCAGAAGCACCACACCGTCCCTCCACAGCAAAGATCAGAAAAACTAAGTCAAACAGAGAAAGCAGCAATCCTGGAACCCTAAACATCAAATGAAGAGATAAAGAACTCAGCCAAGCACCAAATGGAATGAGAAACTGACAGAGAACAGAGAGCAAGGAGACATACATGCAGAGGTCCCCTATCAGCTAATGCAGCACAGATCCGCCATCTTGGACTCCTATCAGAGACCAGCAAATAGGGGGTACGAGAAAGCAGCTTCATGGAGCTTCCAGCAGGAGACAGAAAAACCGGTAACTGGTGACATACGCTTTCCCACCCCCCACTCTTCCTCACCCCCACTCAGCCAACTCTGCTTCCCACGGCCAGTCTCTTGGCCGGGAAGCACCGGCTGCTTGGATTCCACCCACCCACACTGGACGACTCCCTGAGAGCAATTTGTGGGCTGCTGGTGTTGCTTTTTTCCACTTCTTTTGATTTCTTCCTTACCTCTCACTACCTCCCCCTCCTTTTGCTCAAACACCCGGCTCCATGTGCCATCTTTGGTTCTTCCTGAGGGGCTGTGGAGCTCCGCTCGAGTGTGGAACTGCTTCCCAGTCCATGCTGCCATGTTGGTGGGATCCCAGGGCTTTTTTTTGTTTGTTTGTTTTGAATTGTTTGTTTGTTTTCTTTTTCTTTTCTTGAGTTGGCAGCCCGTTCTGACCAGGCAGTGCTGTGCGGCTTGGGACCTACCCCTTTAGCTTGCACAGATGCACAGAGGGATCCCTGAGAGCATTTCTTTTTTAAGTGGGCTTTTTTTTTCTTGTTTTTTGGAGGGGTTTCTTGCTCTTTTTTTTTTTTTTTAATTTGTTTTGTTTTCTTTTCCCTCTTTTTCCATTTTTGTCTTTCTTCATTACTCAGTTCCTCATCTCTCTATACCTTCCTTATCTTCCTGTACCCTGAATACCTAGTACTGAGTGACACCTCTACGTCTTCTAGCCGGGCTGTACTTCAACACCTGGGAACAACTTCCCCAGACATCATAGCTGCACCGGTGGGATCTCTGGGAGCTTTTTTTTATTTTTTCTTTCTAATTCTTATTTATTCATTCTTTTCTTTTTTTCCTTCTTCCTCTTTTTATTTTTCTCCATTTCATAGTCTCTCATCTCTCCACTCCAATGGCAAGCTCCCCTAGCACTCTTTTTTGTTTGTTTGCATGTTTTTGGCTCTTGTTCTTCTCTCCTCTCTCCCATACCCATCTTAGCTCCACACATCACAATTTACCCCCTCCATCATGCCTACCTGCACCGTGCGCTGAACATCACACCACCAAGCAGCACAGGCATTGCCTACCGGAACCAACCCTGCACTGATTACCGACCCGCCCTGGTGGCTGTAGTAAGTGCCACAAACAACCCATCCCAGCAACTCCTCTTCAGCTAGACCTTCCCTGCTGTACCATAGCTGAATGACTGACCCTGCTAACTGGAGAAGGAGGCAAAAAGTATTGTGCCCAGAGACAGGCAAACAAGAAAGAACACACAGCCCACCTGCTCAGACATAACCAAAAAAAAAAAACGATGAAACAAACAAATCTACAATCAATAAACAAGAAAAATAACTATTGAATG